TACAGAAATAAATATAATTACCATAACTGTACTAATGGCATGACAGTCCATGCAATCAGTTCTCTCATCTAGTAGTGTACTGCAATGCCAAATCATCTGTCATATATCAGTTTTCATACGCTTGCGTAAATAGAATCTTGCCACTAAAATCATATCACTCTGGAAACTGACATCTGTGAAGATTGCCTGCAAATTCAATCATGGAACTGAATATGGTTTCTGTATAAACTCAGATATGTTAAATATAGAGGTATAATCACAAAAAATGTATAAAGCACACATTTCTGTGAAACTGCATTTCATGATCCAATGTTTGAATTCCAAGACTCGTCAGTCATGTGATTATAACAATAAACTATATGATCAGTCACAGTGTCACATGTTATTTTGTAAGTCATCAAGTCTACCATTTTTTCAAGCTAGTTCATAGCTAGCATTTGTAATCACTAAAATATTTTATAAGTATCTTTATCATACTATATGACTTGCATCATAACTAGTAGTAGTTATCACAACTAATTTATATTTCTATTAACTGATAGAAACATTGTATTTCTAAGGATGCAATAAAGTTATTATTATTATTATTATTATTATTATAACTTTACTAATAGTCATGTTTTGTGATCAACAAGTGGTGAATTATGCGATCGCGTAATTATTGATGCTGTTGAAGAGAATTATATTTCATTTGTAAATAAGATTATATATTTCTAGATAAATTACCTCTTGTTGTCCAAAGACATGATATCCATATTTGAAATTACTCTGTACCGGTGTAGTTGTACATGTGATGGGTGTGTCCCCAGAGTTAGCTGGCTGACCAGTGTATTGATGATAGACTGTTAAACGCACCTAAAATGGTACAATTAATATAATGAAGTAAATAGGAAGAATTAGAAAATAAAATTGCTACAAAAATCAATGTACAGTCTAATACTCTGTACCTTCATCTGAACCAAAAGAAAAAAACATTATACATAATGTACCATCCAGGAAAAAAATAGCTTAAAAGTCAGTGAAGAATAAATAAAATTTGTAAAATGTTTCTAGCCAATAGCCCCCCCCCCCCTCCCTCCTCCCAACTCCCAACATATGAATGCACATAAAGTCAGTTGTGGATGATGACATAGATCACTTTAATATCAATAGATTGTACATAAAGTTTTGTGGTGTTTTTGGTCATCTAAGCCAAATAAAAACTGATTGGAAATCAAAATAAGGCAGGTTGAATTAGAAATATGATGAAAATGTTAATGAGAACAACAATGAATGCTGAAAATCTATCTTTATTATCTGTATAAGGATATATGAGGTACATGTCATTGTTGTTATTGTTTCTTATATAAATAATTTCTTGTTGTTAACTCATACAGTTTTTATTCAAGCTTTTTCAAACTTGGATATTTTGTTACCCAGTTTGGAATCATGGTCATGTTCACATGGTTACACAAATTATCATCTTCAATCTTATAATATCTATCACTAAAAGTGTCAATGTCAAAAGTTTGTTATGTACTCACCTTACCTTCACCATCCAGTGCATTGCGCACTCTATCTACTTGCAATCCAAGAATAGTTCCAACATCGACTGGTACAGGCTTAGGAGGTAGAGCAATGATGGGTTCTGCAGGATGCACTCTAGATGAGATTTGTTTTGATCTCAGTGGAGTGTGGTACCTTTTTGTACTTTTTATTGGCAGCAATAACTCTTCTCTTAAAGTTTAAAAAAAAAACATTGAGCGATGAACTTAAACAAATGAAAAACTCCTTTGTCAATTGTAATGGGATTATCCTTGCAATCTTCACATCACTATTACATACCTTTGCAAGGAACTGTTTGGGTTACTCCCACTATGTCTATTTTTTATGACATGAAAAGACATGACATTATTATGACTTGGGAAACACAGGCCATTATGGTGACATCAGAAATGTAGGATGTTATTGTGACATCAGAAAAGCAGGCCATTATTCTGACATCAGAAATGCAGGTCATTATTTTGACATCAGAAACATGGGACATTATTGTGACATCAGAAATGCAGGCCATTATTCTGACATCAGAAATGCAGGTCATTATTTTGACATCAGAAACATGGGACATTATTGTTGTGACATCAGAAATGCAGGCCATTATTGTAACATCAGAAATTCAGGCCATTATTTTGACATCAGAAACATGGGACATTATTGTGACATCAAAAATGCAGGTCATTATTGTGACATCAGAAATGCAGATCATTATTGTGACATCAAAAACACAGGACATTATTGTGACATCAGAAATGCAGGCCATTATTGTGACATAAAAAATGCAGGCCATTATTGTGAAATCAGAAATGCAGGTCATTATTGTGACATCAAAAACACAGGACATTATTGTGACATCAGAAATGCAGGCCATTATTGTGACATAAAAAATGCAGGCCATTATTGTGACATCATAAATGCAGGCCATTATTCTGACATCAGAAATGAAGGCCATTATTTTGACATCAGAAATGCAGGTCATTATTTTGACATCAGAAACATGGGACATTATTGTGACATCAGAAATGCAGGCCATTATTGTAACATCAGAAATTCAGGCCATTATTTTGACATCAGAAACATGGGACATTATTGTGACATAAAAAATACAGGATGTTATTGTGACATAAAAAATGCAGGACATTATTGTGACATCAAAAATGCAGGACATTATTGTGACATCTGATACACAGGCCATTATTTTGACATCACACTATTGTGACATTGGGAACATGGGTCATTATTGTGACATCAGAAATGCAGGACATTATTGTGACATCAGTAATGCAGGCCATTATGGTGACATCAAAAATGCAGGCCATTATTGTGACATCTAAAACACAGCCCATTTTTTTCACCTCAAAAATGCAGGCCATTATTGTGACATCTGAAACACAGGTCATTTTTTTCACCTCAAAAATGCAGGCCATTATTGTGACATCTGAAACACATGCTATTATTGCAATATCAGAAACACAGGTCATTATAGTAATATCAGAAATAAAGGCCACTATTGTGACATAAGAAATGCAGGCCATTATTACAATATCAGAAATTCAGGTTATTATTTTGGAATCAGAAGTACAAGTCTATTATTCCTTTTTTCTTCAAAATATATGAAACTAAACAGAAATGAAGATTGGGCCAAATAAAAATACTCCCGTCAAAAGGGGTCCTCATTGATAATGTCAAAATTCAGTTCCAATATTATTTTGGGATGACAAACAAACACTATTATTTTATTGGCCTTTGACCAACAGAATACAGAACAATAGTTTGATGTTGTCTATTTTTATTTCATTTTTGTACAAAAGGCAATCTTCTAATTCCATATTATAAATTGGCCAAACAAATTTAGCATTTTGTTTCTCATCCCTTATAAAAATTGAAAACACAATAATGAAATAAATAATTTGTAATAACTTGTTAATGTCCAACTGAATCTGTTGCATAAATTACAATTATACCAGTTTTCACATAAAAATATTTTAGGCCTGATGGGAAACAAAATGTTTTATTTACTTGGCCTAACAATGAGTCAGTCACTATAAAACTAAAATTCTGATAAAACTTAATGTTTCAAGTATCTAGTGTTTTAAATCAGGATTTCAAATGAATGCCATATATACAAGACTTAGAAAGTACTCTGTTTTATCCATTTAGGCATTAATAAGATCATATAATAAATGACCAATAAAATAAATCTAGTTTTTATACAGAATGCTATGGATCAAGGTACATTTTGGAATATGTAAATTAGAATTACATTGAAGGAAGGCTATATATATATTTAGCTGTATACATATCTTAGGCACACATGTTTGAATTCTGAGATTAAAACATTAGATACTTGTCATACTAAATAGTCATTTAAACTCAAAGGTATTGTTTTGCCAAGCCATGCTGGCCACAATAAGACAGCATAACAATTTTTAAATGTGCTAGGTGGATAAAATGGATTGTAACAACACTTTTGACATGCATGTTAACAAGTTACCATAGCAACAGCCCCCAGGACATCATTTTTTCATAGACCTGATGAATAATTTTGATTATATCTCTCTAAGGCAGTGGTATAAGCTATTTATTGTATTGTCTCCTATTATGCACTGAATTTTCCAAAAATAATACAACAGTAAGCAATTATTACTAACTTTAATGTTTTCAAAATAAATTTAAAATATCTAGCTTTTTTCATAAATGTACAGACATACCCATCTTAGTTTAGGTGCATATCCTTCTCATTAAATTTACCTGTAATCATATACCTGGCTTTCTCAATGAATTTACATGCAAAAGTATATCTAGCTTTCTAAATAAATATACCTGCAAGAGCATACCTAGCTTTCTAAATAAATGTACATAGAAGGGTATACCTAGCTTTCTAAATAAATATACCTGCAAGAGCATACCTAGCTTTCTAAATAAATGTACATAGAAGGGTATACCTAGCTTTCTAAATAAATATACCTGCAAGAGCATACCTAGCTTTCTAAATAAATATACCTGCAAGAGCATACCTAGCTTTCTAAATAAATGTACATAGAAGGGTATACCTAGCTTTCTAAATAAATATACCTGCAAGAGCATACCTAGCTTTCTAAATAAATATACCTGCAAGAGCATACCTAGCTTTCTAAATAAATATACCTGCAAGAGCATACCTAGCTTTCTAAATAAATATACCTGCAAGAGCATACCTAGCTTTCTAAATAAATGTACATAGAAGAGTATACCTAGCTTTCTAAATAAATAAACCTGCAAGAGCATACCTAGCTTTCTAAATAAATGTACATGGAAGAGTATACCTAGCTTTCTAAATAAATATACCTGCAAGAGCATACCTAGCTTTCTAAATAAATGTACATGGAAGAGTATACCTAGCTTTTTAAATAAATAAACCTGCAAGAGCATACCTAGCTTTCTAAATAAATGTACATGGAAGAGTATACCTAGCTTTCTAAATAAATAAACCTGCAAGAGCATACCTAGCTTTCTAAATAAATGTACATGGAAGAGTATACCTAGCTTTCTAAATAAATATACCTGCAAGAGCATACCTAGCTTTCTAAATAAATGTACATGGAAGAGTATACCTAGCTTTCTAAATAAATATACCTGCAAGAGCATACCTAGCTTTCTAAATAAATGTACATAGAAGAGTATACCTAGCTTTCTAAAGATATATACCTGCAAAGCAAACTTAGCTTTCTAAATAAATGTACATGGAAGGGTATACCTAGCTTTCTAAATATATATACCTGCAAGAGCATACCTAGCTTTCTAAATATATATACCTGCAAAGCAAACTTAGCTTTCTAAACAAATGTACATGGAAGGGTATACCTAGCTTTCTCAATAAATATACCTGCAAAGTAAACTTAGCTTTCTAAATAAATGTACATAGAAGAGTATGCCTAGCTTTCTAAATAAATATACCTGCAAGAGCATACCTAGCTTTCTAAATAAATGTACATGGAAGGGTATACCTAGCTTTCTAAATAAATATACCTGCAAAGCAAAATTAGCTTTCTAAATAAATGTACATGGAAGAGCATACCTAGCTTTCTCAATAAATATACCTGCAAAGCAAACTTAGCTTTCTAAACAAATGTACATGGAAGGGTATACCTAGCTTTCTCAATAAAGTTACCTATAAGAGCATACCTAGCTTTCTAAATAAATATACCTGCAAAGCAAAATTAGCTTTCTAAATAAATGTACATGGAAGAGCATACCTAGCTTTCTAAATAAATGTACATGGAAGGGTATACCTAGCTTTCTCAATAAATATACCTGCAAAGCAAACTTAGCTTTCTAAATAAATGTACATGGAAGAGCATACCTAGCTTTCTCAATAAATATAGCTGCAAAGCAAACTTAGCTTTCTAAATAAATATACATGGAAGAGCATACCTAGCTTTCTCAATAAATATACCTGCAAGAGCATACCTAGCTTTCTAAATAAATATACCTGCAAAGCAAACTTAGCTTTCTAAATAAATGTACATGGAAGAGCATACCTAGCTTTCTCAATAAATATAGCTGCAAAGCAAACTTAGCTTTCTAAATAAATGTACATGGAAGAGCATACCTAGCTTTCTCAATAAATATAGCTGCAAAGCAAACTTAGCTTTCTAAATAAATGTACATGGAAGAGCATACCTAGCTTTCTCAATAAAGTTACCTTTAAGAGCATACAGCAGCTTCTCAATAAATGTTTCTGTACAGGTTTATCTTGTTTTAATTCTCATTAAATATACCTAGAACATACATTTGTAAATATACTGATACCTTTTCTCGTAACCATTTATCCATCAAGTATAGAAACTAGTGATGTCCTAGCGGATTGTTCCTGACACAAATTACAACACATTTTATTTGTCTCACCTTGGGGGTGGTGAGGGAGGTGGTGGGGGTACACCTCCTCCTCCACCATAGACTCCCCCTCCCCCTGCATAAGGAGATGCATAAGGCTGGGCACTGCCTCCATATGGTCCTCCTCCTCGACTTCCTCCCCCTCCCCCACCTGCATATACACCACCACCTCCTTGGTAAGCTCCTCCATAAGGTCCACCTCCATAGCTTGTCCCTGGCTATTGACAAAAAATACTTAAAATAAACAACCAATAATGGACATTCACCACGATGCAATGTGATATTATTGAAATAATGACATCATTGTAAAAAGAGGGAACCCCCACCCTCACTACCCACCTCATTAAACAAAAGTCTTACATTTATTCCCAACAATCTCCATTAATCTGAGGCAAAACAAGTGTAAACTGAGTAAAATGGCAAATATCTCAGTTTAGAATAAAACAGAATGAGAAATGAGACTTACCTGTGGTGCAAATGTGTAATGTTGTGCATATCCCATACTGACAGGAAGTCCTCCTTCTCTTGGTGCATCTCTCCAGTCTACTACCCTGTAATAAAGCTCAGCTCCTCCAAGCTGGAATAAAATATAACTATTATTTCACAAAATAAATGATGTCCATTTTGTCTAAAATTCTAATACTATGAGTTATTACGAGGATACTGCATAGTATGCACAAAGGCAGTGCAGTGGGAGTATTGACCGACACACAGCATACTGTCTTTTCCTCCCAGTGATACATCATGGGAATTCCGAAATCCAAAACCTTTATAACAGCTTTAGCGAACTTCTTTGTGTGGGGCCCGGTCAGACCCTGGGGGTAGCCATGTTTTTTATCTTTATTAGAGAACGCTTACACACATAATCGCTCCCATATTTGGAATTCGCATTTCCTAATATAGTAGGATGAAAATACCTAGTGCAATACCGCAAAATTACGGCACACTGTAACTTACATGTATGGTGTTACGATGACAGATGTATAATAATAACACATACTTTCAGTTATAGTTAATATTTCCATTATACAATGAATTAAAATGCCCGTCAAAAATAACATTTTTATTAATTACTAGTAGAATAAAAATAATTAATTAATTTCTATACCTGTGGAATGGTTGCGAGTTCATTAAATGATATTTCTGGACGTACTGGTGTTATGCGTAGCGGTGCTTTCCATCTACCTGTTAGTAAACGCACTTGTTCATCAAACAACGGAAGCTTTGCCCAAGCCCTAGACACCAGACTTTTACTGTCATGAGGTTGGCTTGATAACTGTACTTCACACACAACTGCTGTAGTTGGCTCTGGTTTGGCACTATGTATTAAAGTCAACATTACTGTCAGTTTAATATATATACACATGTACCGGTACTATGATTTTCAAGAATTTGATATCTGGATCATAATAATTTACATACATTTTTTGTATTATAATTTTATTTAAATTCTCATGAAATGTTGCTGATTGACAATGCCCCTTAGCTGACCAATAAAATTCAATTAGATTTACTGCGATATATCGGAGATAATGACATTCATGACAAACATGTTCAAAACTTATTTACATTTTTGTTTTTATTTAATAGACAATTAAAAACAGTGTATGATTAAAATCTAACCACATGAGGTGGTATGATCTAAATTTAGTCTAATGACATGGAATGGCATGATTCAAGTCAAATCTCATGACATGGAATGGCATGATTCAAATCTAATCTTATGATGTGGAATGGTATGATTCAGATCTAATCTCATGACATGGAATGGCATGATTCAAGTCAAATCTCGTGACATGGAATGGCATGATTCAAATCTAATCTTATGATGTGGAATGGTATGATTCAGATCCAATCTCATGATATGGAATGGTATGATTCAAATCATGTGGCATATGTGGTATGATTAAATCTAATCTGACAGCATGATTCAAACCTAATCTAGAATTTAAATCTAATGACATACTCTTTATTAATCAGAAACTCATTATTTGCCATTAGATTGATAAGATTACACAACTATTTTAGATCTTAGACTACTATGAGCCATGTTAACTAAGATTTTTTATTTACAAAGTTCTTTCCACAAGTTTAAATCAATTTTATCTGTATTTTATGAAGGTTTGTTTTAATACTTTTGTATCTACACTGTTAATCTTGACTTTTGTTTCAACAAGTGAGAACCCACAGGATAATCATTCAAAGGGTTTTTTCAGTAAATAACCAAGCTAGACCACTAAACATAAAGAATCATAGATAATTTACATAATCACTGATAATATCTTTAAATGACGTGAACAATTACAGAGATTTTTTAGCTTTCCACATCTATCCCTGCATGCACCACTTCACATCAATACCAATTACAATAGTCATTATTTTGTTGACAAAAAAACATTACTCTATTTGCTCTATTAGACATACATAAAAACCCAACATGTTTGTTTTGGCACTAAACCATAGACCTTATGACTAAACCTACATTGTAATTTGTTTACCTTTTGAAAGTCAAACCTTTGGTGTGTTTGGTATGTTTGCGTTTGCACACAGCTCCTTAGCACAGGCTAAGAGGTCAAAAATCTTAGCCCATGCTAAGAAAACATGTAGTACAAGCAAGTACAAGCTAAATCTGACCCATTTTTTTAAATCTGGTCTAGACCCTTTACACAGGCTAACAAAGTGTGCATGAACGCTCAGCTCTGAATGTCCATTTGCAAGATTTACTATTAAATTCATAACTATTCATTTTGGTATGTCATTACTAACATGACAATCAATACATGCACATCCAGAGACATTGTTTTTGAGAAGAGACTCTGTACTGCCTCCTGTTTTTCTGCAATATAATCTGCCTTTTCTTAATTTGTTTTGGTATTCTTTTATAACTATAGAACTAACATGTATACCTTCTTAGTTACTGTACTGAGTAATCAAAGTTAAAAGGACTGAAGATTTCTATATTCTTAACAAGTTTGGTTATTGGTTAGCATGTGGATGGAATGTACTAACATGTACTTCCATGGCCTGTGCTATTAACTGCTGTTCCTTAAATTCTGTGCCTGAACACAATTGGGTCTAGCTGATATGCAAACATATGAGATTAGCTTAAATCTTAGTCCATATTTGGTATAGCTTTAACATTGCTTTTATGGTGAGCACTTCTAATAGAGCAAATATGGTAATCAAAGTACAGCTTATAAATAGATGTAAAAATCTAACCAATCACCGCTGTGCAATGCATACTTAGTGTGAAAAGCTGCTAATGGTTCTTTAGTCCAATCAAATTTCAGCTCTTCAGATCAGACTATGCCATTCCAGATTACTTACTTTGGTACTTGCTGCCTGGTTGCTATGGTAGCACCACCAAATCCACCGTATCCTCCAGGCTGTTGCTGTGCAGGATTACAGTAGGTGACTGGAAATGTAGTTGGATCACCAAGCTCATTCTCCTTCTCCCACTGAGCTGTAATCAATCTTAAAATCTTAGAGCTTGGATCCAATCCAATGATGAAATCAAAGAAAACTAAAAACCCAGCACTGCAGAAAACAAATGTTTTAGAATGAGCAAACATTATTATAAACTAAAATAAAACAAAATTATTTGTTTGCAATAAGTCTGATTTTTCTGGCAAAAATTTATTGTTTTATTTATACATGTACTCAAAACTATTGCACTTTAATTACGCTTACTTGAACTTAATATTTATTTGGATTTAAAAACTATTATATCAATATAAATTTTGTTTAAGTTATAGCTATTCTTAAAAATGTAATTTGACAGTCATTTGTCTACACCAATTTAAAAAAAAAGAAAGATTTTTATTATTATTATCATTAGAGATTACATTTTTTTAAATTTCTAATTACTCCAAAAATATCTCAAACACATTACTTTATTGTCACTTTTATGAGAGTGCATTAAACCTATATAGTCATATGGGAGTGCATTAAACCTATATAGTCATATGGGAGTGCATTAAACCTATATACTGGTAGTCATATGGGAGTGCATTAAACCTATCTAATCATATGGGAGTGTATTAAACCTATATACCGGTAGTCATATGGGATTGCATTAAACCTATATAGTCATATGGGAGTGCATTAAACCTATCTAATCATATGGGAGTGCATTAAACCTATATAATCATATGGGAGTGTATTTAACATATATAGTCATATGGTTTGTTTGCATTAAATTAGTATTTTACCAATACCAGTAGTGAAAAAAAGTTCTGAATTGCCAAGCTTGAATAAATAAGGAAATAAAAATAAACACCATGCAATAATAAAATGTATGTGGTGGAACTACCATGCAACTATTTATCTGCAGTTGTATAGCAACTATAGTCAAAAACCGTTGAAGCAGGTTAATGCCCTTTATAAACAATCGTATGTTCACTACCTTCATACACACTTTGTTCACACCCAAATCTCAAGAATGTCACACGCCCCACCAACTAAAAAAGGCCCTTTTGATTTAAAAGCAATCAATGTGTATGTCAGCCTATTGCTTTCTTTATCTATTTGTCCAAATCTAATTTTCTATGTCTTGTACGTTTAAGACCATGAAGTGATGAGGTGAAAGCTCAGTCTATTCCAATCATCTTGCCATAATAGTGTGTGTGTATTCAATTGGGTGGAGACAAGTTCGTACATGTTTTTTGTGTCTACAATTCATGCTACAATGACCCAGTGATATTTATAAATAATATATTTTAAACATTTTTTTTAATTCTAGCCATTAAATGCAACTGTTGTCACTGCCAAAATTAGTGCAATCCTAATTTTTATGAAATGTCTATCTCATTAGAAAGTTATTCTTCATTATATAAATCTAATTAGAATGAAGGTGAATGAATTTTATACTGGACAAGAAACTGCTGGATACAAAAGATTAAAGCACCTGAAATAGAGAATGAACAGTTCTTTGGCAGCAGGTACAAATAACAACACTACTAAACTGTGTTCTGATCAAAGACAGCGTTTCAGACTGTTGTAGTCATTGTTTTAACATACGGCAGATGGGCATGGCTATAGAAGATAACAGAACTAAGAAAAACAAGCCAGAAACACAAACATACATGGGTATATGTAAACTTTATTTTTTATTAAATATTTTACAAATGCTCAAAAGTGAGTTTAGAATGTAAATTTCTGACTACATAATTCAAAACTTTATAAACATTCAGAAATAACATTACATGTTCTTGTATAAAACAGCCTTAACCCTTTAACTGCACAAGTCTGTCTACAAAAGCTTCTTGCATTTTTTCCTAAATTTTCTTAATTTTTTATTATAATTCTTTGCTAATTTTTAAGCCAGTCAACAGAAAGCCTCACTCCTTTCTTACAGGCCAAATGTGATAGAAACAATAGACAGAAATATATAGTTAATTTTGTGATCAAAGGGTTGAAGCAAAGTGGACAGAAAATTTGACAATATATAGTACCCTGATTACCCCATGCATTACATAATGATGATACGTTACACATAGAATATAACATGAAAGAAAAGAGTTTACAATTTACATATACCCATCCATGCAGTGTAATAGTACTGAATATTTTGTACATAAGTGTTCTGTACATTTAGCTAATTAGATATGTACATATTATAAATAGTATGTTAATTTATGCACACATTAATTTACGTGTTGTTTTAATACTAATTTATGCATCAATGTTAATGCATGCATTTCATGTTCTGATTTTTGTTAAACATGGTTAATTTGTATTATGTTTTAAGTATGTTTTTCTATGTTCTGTTATGTTCTAGCCTACAGATTAACAATGCCATTTACTACACTCACTGTATTCGTCATTATGCCAACACTTTGATACTTGTAAAACAATTAGATAGTTTTCAGATCCAAAACAAATTTCAAGAGCACATGATCCAATTTTTGACATTCTAATGGTTTTTTGGTAGCTAAAAATGATCTGTCCACTTGTTGTACAAGCTTTCTGAGGTGCACCCCTGGCAAGAATGCCATTTACAGTGAAGATAAACTAGAGCTGGTCAAGACCACAGTGATTCAATGTATATTAATAGTTATATACAAGACCAGGTACGCCTGCAGGTAAATAACCACCATGAACACCTCGAGGGGAATTGACAATGATAATGTTTGGCTGACTTTCATACCCTGGTTGCCTTGGTGACAGTGGTGGGGGATATGCAACAGGCATTTGGGGAGGGGGATAAGGTTGAGGAGGAGGACTAGGAGGTCGCTGCCCATACCCAGCATAAGGCATTGGAAACATTGGTGCCATTTCAACTTGCGGTGCTTCTGGTTTCTTGTTCATCTCTCTCCGGAGACGCTCCAGTTCATCTTGTAAATCTCGCATTTTTCGCATACTATCTTCTGTGGATCAAAAACACAGAATAGGAAGTATATCAGACAAGATGTGATGCAGATACAAAGGGTAAGGTAGAAATGAGAAATTCAGATATGAAAAACAAAAGATTTTCTGAAGTTGACACTGTAGGGCATGTTTAAAACTAGATGAAAATAAAACAATGCTTAAGACAAACTTTTATGTGATTTTATTGATTAAAACTACAGAAAATATTACAATATCACACTCTTTTAAAAAAACACATTACATTACCAATCACCATAGCAACAAGTAGTTTGCAGTTCGCAGCAGAATTCATGGGCAGCAAAACAAAACAGACACATAAATTGTTTTGAGTTCCTGTCTTCTATTGTATCCACCAACTCTGACAAACACCACCTTCTATGGCCATATATTTCTGCCTCCAATATTCTGACAACCCCTACTCTCATTCACTAGGCAACTCCCACACCACCACTCCGATCCAGTAGGCAACACTCACACTATCACTCCCATCCAGTAGGCAACACCCATACCACCACTCTCATTCACTAGGCAACTCCCACACCACCACTCCGATCCAGTAGGCAACACTCACACTGCCATTCCCATCCAGTAGGCAACACCCATACCACCACTCTCATTCACTAGGCAACCCCCACACCACCACTCCGATCCAGTAGGCAACACTCACACTATCACTCCCATCCAGTAGGCAACACCCATACCACCACTCTCATCAGTAGGCAACCCTTCCATACCACCACTCCCATCCAGTAGGCAACCCCACACAACCACTTCCCATCCAGGAGGCAAC